TGAATAACTTCAATGCCTTTATTTTAAGACCATAATTATTTACTCCGAAAGAATATGAGGGATTTATTTATTTATTATTTTTAAATATGTTTTATTGATATTTTTAGAGAGAGGAAGAGGGAAAGAGAGAGATAGAAACATCAATGAGAGAGAAACATCTATCAGCTGCTTCCTGCATGGCCCCTAATGGGGATAGAGCCTGCAACCCAGGCATGTGCCCTGACCAGGAACTGAAACAGCGACCTCTTCGTGCATAGGACGACACTCAACCAACTGAGCCACACCAGCTAGGCAAGATGAAGGATTTAAATAGAATTGGAAGATGAGACACAAAGGACCAAACTCCAACAATTACTCATTTGAGAATCTGAGATTTCATTCCATGGAGTGAATGTAATTATTTGTTTCAGAGCTTATTTGCAGAAGCACTTTGCCTTTCTTTACCATTACTCTCATGCAAACACTTCAGGAGTTGTTACAGTAGCAAATACACTTACCATTGTGTTGCCTCTATTCTTGTCCTTACAGTGTCAGGATGTTCAGTTAAGAAGGTAAGTTAAATACTCTAAATAAATTCCTTTGATGCAAATGACTTTCTCAATCATAGGAATCTTTACTGACTCTTGTTTTTTTTTCTTTATTTTCCACTTTTCACATCAACACATCCCACCTATTCCTCTTGCTCCTCAGATTTGCCTTTTTCTGAGAGTATCCAGGTCACCACCCTCTCTATCTCTTATCAACTAATACATGTACTATGAAACAGCCTCCAAAATGATTTCCCTGCCACCACACTCTCCCCCTACCTAATTCTTCTTGCATATGCTACCAGATGAATGTTACAGCATCTCTCCCAGCCTTATTTCTTTATTTTACCCCCACACAGATTTCTCTTTTTGGCAGCCAAATGTGCTCATTTTCAGATAACAAGACTTGTTAAATTTCTCTTTTGTCTTCACATGCGCTATTCTGTGCAATTTGGAATTTGCCATTCTTCACCACTATTCCCTCAATTCCAAACTTATCTCTGGCTTAATTTGAGACTGAATCACCCAAACTCACTTATCTCCTCTACATGTATAATATTAATTTTTCTACACTGGAATGTGTTTTTCAAATACCCCTTTCTTCATCCATATGATATGGAAACTATTTGAAAACAGGGACTTCATTTTTTTTTAAATACATTTTTATTGATTTTTTTAGATAGAGATGAAGGGAGAGGGAGAGAGAGATAGAAACACCAATGAGAGAGAAACATCAATTGGCCGCCTCCTGCATGCCCCGTACTGGGGATTGAGCCACAACCTGGGCATGTACCCTGACAGATAACTGAACCTGCACCTCTCAGTGTATGAGAAGATGCTCAACCACTGAGCAACACCAGCTGGGCAGAAATTCAATTTTTTAAAAAAAATAATTCTATTATACTTTATGTATTGGATATTACACCATGCCACTCAATAAATATTCATGATTGCCTTTAGTACCATCTGGAGAAAATGTGGTTGATTAAAGAGCAGTGAACATTTAGGAAGATGAGTTTAGATGGGTATAGGTAATTTTACAATTTCTGATCTCACAGTAATTATATAGAGTACTGAATAACCCTCTTAAATTGCCTATGACTGATTTCAGTTCTAAAAAAAAAAAAAAGTAACTTTGAAGTGAAAGCATTTGGAGCAAATGATTATTGTTTATCAAATAGCCCCATACATTCATCAGAGAGTAATGATGTCCAACACTGTGACCTCCTATCAAACATCTTAGAACAAAAATGCATGAGTAATACAGGAATTTGAGCCAGACTCTTTTCAACATTAAATACTCTCCCAGAAAACAGCAACAAAAATTACAAGTTTTCAAACTTAACTGGTCACTATGGAACTATTTTTTGTCTTAACTTCACTCTGGTTTTATGAATCCACTACCACACCTTGGGAAATGAATATAGGAATGTAAAGATTTATATGCACAATTTTTAAGATATTTCCCTTGGTCGTTACTTGATTTTTTAAAAAAAAACTTTTGGTGGAAAACCAACCAATTTATTCAAAAATAAAGTGTCAAAGGGCAGTAAATGCTTGAAACTGCATTTGGTGGTTCCACACTCTTGTAAGCCAGTTAGTCACCAAGTGTGTCAGGGAATCTTTTTCCTTTTCTTGGCAGAATTTTGTTCTTTCTCACACCTGCCATTTTCCAACTTTTTACAGAAGTAATTTATAGGATACTACTTATTTGCATGTCATTTTGAAACTCCTCTATAAACTTCTCTTTCATAACTTAACTCTTTCTCCTTTCACTGCAGCTTGGTTCCTACTTTAAGGTCCAAAGTGCTAACCACCATTCCTCAAACTATTGTCTTTTCACATGATGATACCTTGAGTTCAAACTTTACCAGAATCCATCAAGTGCCTTTGTACCTATTTATTAAGTAAAAGCGATTGAAAAACAAACAGATTTGGATCTAATTGAATTAAGGCTTAGAGTGGGTGAGGAGAGATGCCTTCTTACTTCTATTTAAGAACTACCTAGCTACCTTAGAGTAGATAGATTGGAGCCCATAAATTAACAAACCTGCCAGATTTCATATTTTGCCAAATTAAAACCATGTATATGTTGCCCATCACCCTTAGCATTGTTTTCGTGCATTTCTCATTTGTCTCATAATTTCAGATATTTTTAGAAATGTTTACCATAAAACAGCCTAAAATTTTAAAGTATGTATACTGTTGGTGGATGAGTTAAATAAATTTGTTATGAATGTATGGAATCCAGTTGTACCACTATTTTTATAAATCCCCCAAATCTATTTCAATGAAAAATTGAGACAAAAATATTTTCCACTGTAAAAGAAACTGGTAGAATACATTATGTTCTAGACTAAATACTTATACCATTATGGGCTATCTCTTTTAAAAATCTCAGATGAAAATCAAATTTTGAACTGCCATCTAGAAATAAACTTTTATAGATAGTGTACACACTGGTTCCTGAAAATGGTAGAAAAGGTTTCTTGTCAAGTTTACCAGCACAAGTGTGAATGCTCTGTTTTTGAGTACCTACTAGTTGTGAAAGGACACATTGTGGCCAGCCAACTCAAATTGCTACCCACGTTTAATCATTGTAAATAAAGGAAGCAGAGAGACCCACGTTATATTTTCAGAACTGGCATGCTCAATACAGATCTATTAGTTTAAAAATACCACTCAATATTCATTCTGAATTTATCTAGACTTCTGTTTAAAACAAAATAATAAAAAGTACAATTGGTCACTTGAACATATACTACTCATTTCATGCAAGCTATTAATTTAGTAATTACACATACCATTAAAGACAGTGAGAGCAAATACAACTTTATAACACTTGGGAAACAGTTAGGTCTTGATAAATTTCTATTTTGAAAAACCTATAGGTTTTACAGAAGCAAACTCACCTTTCTCGGTAGAAAACAATAAATACATCTACAAAACACTTGTATGTGTTGAATAAGACTTTTCAAAGAAACAACTAATTGTCTCACTGTGAAATCAACATGTACCACTGCTAAGTTTTCATATACTCTTGGTGCATAATGTATTTCTTGAGCAGCTTGATATAGTAAAGCAACAGAGAAACAAGTACTTTGAACAAAACCCATGGATCACAGGGAGTCAATAATGCAAAGAGGTTAAAAGAAATAATCAAAATATTATGTAATATTGTTTTATACATTTGAGTTTCACAATTATAATTGTTAGGCAAATTAATTTTTACACACTGTATACATTTGTCCTTGTTATAATTGTCCAAAACATGATTTCAGCAATATTTTCAAAATGCCAGGATCAACCTTCATTAACAATTGACCCTTATGAGCATATTAGTGGAGAACACACCAAAATGGATTAATTAGAAAAATATAAAGTGATAATTCACAATAAATATGAAAATAGGGGAACATTCCTTACAGAAAATTAATAATACCTTAGATTATTCACAGGGATTTTCTGGTAGAGTACAGTCATAGTCACAATGTGAAGGTGGAAAAGTTTATCTACAAAATATACCCTTTGAAGCACCAGGAATAGAGATACTTCTACAGGAGCCTTGCACACACGGCCAAGCAGATATTGTATGTACAGAATAATTTGATTTACAACTGCAGTTCAGATGATAAACACTGCAATTGCTGCTCTACCACTAGTGAACTTGAATTACTTAGCACTTCATCTGTGATTATTGTTGTTTTACTTTTATTTGTAGTGCTGATATGTGCAGTCAATATTTATTTAAATTCAAACTCTAACAACGCTGAAAAAGAAAAGTAGAAAGATGCTCACATCTTTTTATAAAGCTTATAGAAGGATGAGAGATTATTTGGGAAAAAATTCAAATATAAATTTGTTAGCAAACAATGAAATGCACACCTTAAAATGTGCTTTCAAACTTGTAAAACTTTTAAAATAGGTTAAAAAGCTATGCGTTGTTCAAAATCACTCTAAAAGAGCTAACAGCCTGTCTATTCATTTGCTTAAGAAATGCATGTTGTTTACCTACCTACTAGTTTGCCTACAGATAAGTGCTTGCCTAATAAAACTAAAAGCTGTCATTATGAGCTATTGATTTAGTCTACAGAAGTTGTCCATTATGTTGAAGAATTTCTAATGGTTTCAATCACAATTTTCACTTACTAATCTTCCTCTACAATCTTCCAATTTAGGTGTCTTAACACTTATTTCTTGATAATTTCTGATTTTTCACTTTATAGAAGTTCTCCTTTCCACTTAAGGTAGTTAGGAATTTTTAAATTCAGTAAAAGTCTTTAATTTTTCCCTATTTCAAATACTATGTAGATACTGAAATATAAATATGTAGAAGGTACCTCACCTACTAAGCTTGCACCTCAAATTGGTATCATAAAACCACTCTAAGCCAATAAGATTATGTTGTTTTCAAGGAGAAATTAAAACAGTATATTGGAACAAGGCACTATACTACAAAAGCAGGTCTTTCTTCCCCCACTATTCTGGAAATGTAAACAAATAAACAAAGAAAAAAAATGAAGTACAAAGAAATTTCTGTGCCTTTTTCTTCAAACACTTTTTTAGCACCTTGATGTTATTAGGTGTACTTTATGCTTGGTATCGCAGAAATTCTCTATGCTCACATGGCTGTTCTGAGTAGGTCAGATTTTTCACTACCAAATATCACTGGTGAAGCTAAACTCTTTGGATGATAAAGGTAGCAGGGAACTGTTTCTATGAAATTCCTGGGTATCTTTCAGGGCATTATTAAGGGGTAGCTGTCCATTGAGTAGCGTCAGAGGCAGGTTACAGTAAGTGTAGTGGTTTCCCAAGGAAGATACTGGGGAGGTGGTGGTTGGTGTCTTGTGTGTATAACTTCTGCAACAGTGCCTCATTTGCATTGAATCTGAATGGTCAAAATCAGGGAGATCAGCTTGAGATGACACAAGAGAGGCTGAGGTACTGGTCATAGCAATAGATGGTATAGGCTGGAGTTCTCCAAAAAGTCCTTGTTCTGCAGAGTCCATAATATGGCAGCGAGAAAGCACTTCTTTTTTCTTGATGGGCATTTCATATACTAAGTGCTTCCAAAACTTAGAATTTAATTTGCTGCTTTTGGGTCCCTTCCACTTGATCAGTGACAGAAGTTTGATGCTGTGCTTTAGTGATTCCACTTCCTGGCAATTCACCTTCCCTTTTAATTCTGTACACTCAATCAAAATCACTTTGATTTCTCCACTGACTAACATGTTATGGAGTCTGCTTTCCAATTCAAAAATACTCCATCCTCGTCTGAGAATGTAATCTGGAGTTAGCACGATAATAAGTCTTCTGCTTTGCTCAACACTTCTTGTGAGATCTTCAATGTATGCTACAAATCACAGAAAGAGAGAAAGAGTAAAACAAAGACATTTTCAGTCTTTAAAGCATTAGGTTTGCACTTTAGAATAGTAAAGATCCAGTCTTTCACTAATGTACACCATATCTTCTATTTTATATTGCATATTCAGTAAGCCCATTTCCTTTAAAAAAAAAAAAAAAAGAATGAAAAATAAATATATAAACCTGCTTAGCCCTGGCCATGTGTGGCTCAGTTGATTGAAATGTTATCCTGTACACTGAAAGGTGGCAGGTTCAATTTCCAGTCAGGGCACACACCCAGGTTATGGGTTCAATACCTGGTTGGGACATGTACATCAATTTTTTTAAAAAATGCTTAAAATAGTAATTTTCTTGCACATCATTACTTGCAGTGTTTTGTTGGTGAATATTGAATCTGACTTCATCAGACATTAGGTGTATTTAAGTAATGTTTTAAATTTGATCATTTAATTTAAGGTGGACTCCCAGGCTTATACTCTAAGTAAACAAGTCATCAATCAATGAAAAGAGGAATGAAATTTTTTAATGACTGAAGAGTCACTCTATTTATGGGTTTAGTTCTGCCCACCCCCGCTATTTTTCAACTGTAAAACATGTAAAAGAGTCTATGTTTATGAACTACTTCAAAGATATTGTGCTAGACATGGTGGAAAAGCTCTTCTAGATTCATAGCTTGTTTTTTAGAATACTTTTTGTTATTTACAACCTTAGGTACTCCATTGTGCCAGAAATAGGGAAGTGGTGTGTATGTGCCCATGAATGTAATTTGAACCAGTTGCTCTTTGTTCAGAGGAAGATCAAGGGGTGGAGTTGAAGGTGGGGGATGGTGTGGAAGGAACATGAATGGAGGAAGACTCTATCAATGGAAAGGAAGTTTTTTCCTACTTTGTGGAGCAATTCTGAGAGTGAGGTGAATATGTTATAGCCTTTCCATGCTATAAAAACACTAAAATAACAAATTTTATTTGTACTATGGAATAGTCCTTTTGCAATCATCTTCTCCAAAGTCCTATCCACCAAAAAGGGAAACACACACATGTTTTAACAAATCGAGACTTGGACACAGGTGCTGCAACAGAGAACTCTCTTTACTAAGCAAAGCACAAGGCCTAGTCTAATGTACAGTGCCCTCTAGCAGAAGCAGTGCTTACAGAAGCATAGCAACATTTGTCCCTGCAAATCTGTCCAAGGTTACAGACTGCTTTCAAGGAGTCATGTCCAGTACACAGTGTTGGGCCACAAAACAGCCCAGTGGAAGCCATTTGAAAAGAGCAACTTATTTTACAGATGCACATTTTACAGATGATCTCTATTTTTCCAGGGTTTATTTGCACCACTTGGCAGCAAGAACACTTTCACAAATAAAAATGAGCAAACTTTCTACACACCCTACAGATAAGCAAAGAGTTTTTTAAGAGATACACATAGAACTGCCCATTTTACAATTAACTGTTACTGCTGTTTTGGTTTATACTTAATACACTTTGTCATTTTTCTCATGCAGTAGTTACAATGACTGTTCAGAGGATAAAACAACTTCTAAGTGGGAAAAGAACCTTTTACAAATTTTAAGTATTTTATTTTAGAGATTACATATTCAGAGAAAAAATCAGCATTAAAATCTGCAAAACAACAAAACAAACCAAAAGAAAAAAACAAAAACAAAAACAAAAACAGAACAAAACTAAAAATACCACACAAGTATCAAAGGAAAGTTATCACGACAATTATCATTTAGAGAACTGGTGAAGCCAAATGGAAAGAAAGGTAGAAAGTTTCAATAAAGTGGAAAAATATTATCCCAATGTATCAACAGCTCTGACTCTTCATTTTCTTCCTCTCTTTCTGCTCCCAAAAAGAAAGAAGTTATGTGGGAAGTTTCATCATTAGAAGTTGGATCTGTAAGATACAGTAAAATAAACTATCATGCATCTTTCCCATTATTCTTTTCACCTTTCTTAAACAAAACAAAACAAACAAACAAACAAAACACACACACACACACATACACACCAAGAACAAACAAAAACCCAAACCCAGACTCATGGTTTAAGTGCAGGAGTCCATGAAAATGCAGTTTCACCAGGCAAATTATGAGTTAATAGTTAATTTTGTAGAGTAATTCATTTTTAATATTATATTTTATTGATTGTTTTAGAGAGAGAGGAAGGGACAGAGAGATAGAAACATCAATGTGAGAGAGAATCATCAATCAGCTGCCTCCTGCATCCCCCCCATCGGTGACTGAGCCTGAAACCTGGGCATGTGCCTTGACCAAGAATCAAACTGGGACCTTTCAGTCTGTGGGATGATGCTCAATATACTGAGACACACCAGCTGTGCTCTAGAATAATTATTTACAAAATAATTTACTAAGGAGTTATTCTGAGTTGTGTTCTTCCCTCATTAATTGCAGCTTTTCATTTAATCTTTAAAAATTGCCTGTACAAACTTTTGTAAAATAAACTATGTCTTTATGAAGTATATCTTCATGCCTCTATGAAAAACACTATTTCTGTGTTGAGATATAGTTTAATTTACTTTTAAACTATACTTTAAAAATAAAACATAATCTATACATATACTTATCTACACAAAGAAAAAAATTACAACCCAGGTGTTCACAGTAATTAAAGAAAATATCCACATACCACTAATTAATTTTATTGGGAACACATGGGCTTTGGCTTTGCTATCCTCTTTCTCAAATGCAGAAGAAAGTAGGGTATAATTTTTCACCATTAATATGGTTACCCCCTTCACCTGTCTATTATATTTTGCTATTTGACAACTAAGAAGAATGCAACATTTAGAGTTTTGGGAGGCTTCTTAGAGACTTATTAGACAGACGTTGCTTTTGCCTCCAAAATAAATGCCTGTCAGGACAGATCCCACTATGCTCAGCTGCACAGGGTGTGGGTGTTGAAGGGAACTTTGGAGAGAGGGAGTGGTCCCTGTCTCCTGCATACTACTCTAGCTGTGCTTATCCTGGCAAAGCCTATTGGAGAGTTGAGGCAACCATCCAGATTATTCCGGCTGAAAACCTCCTGTGGAAGAAAAAAGGTCTGCCTTATCCTGGTTTGCCCTATATATACATTCATCATATGCACTGGAGTCAGTCAGTTAATACCTCAAAATTTTTCCTGTGTAGACACAGCTGAAATGTCCCAAAGAAAACATGAAACATTTGCTTGGGCCCTGAATTTCATGTTCCATTTCACTTAGTGAAAAACCAAGTGGAAGTTTTCAGATGTGAAGCCCACATTTTACTTTTTGAGATGGTGATCATTGGCGGGGCAGCAACCTCAATGTTTGAAAGCAGCTGGGGAGGTGCCTCTAAGATCTGCCTGGCTCTAAGGAAAAGGAGAGACTGTGCTCTAGCTTCCATATTCTGGTTCTCCTTGTTTATCACTCTGTGTTTTTCTTTTTCTCCCCCTTCCTTTTGCTCCTCTCTACCTCTTTCTTTCTCCCATTCTTTTTTTTTTTCTGACCCATCTCCTTCTTATCTTTTACTTCCCTTTTTGCTTTCTTTCTCACTCTTTTTTTCTGCCTTTCCCTCTTTTGCTCTCCTTTCCTCTCTTGCCTATCTCTTTTTGCCCCCTTTCTTTCCCCTTTTCTTTCCTAAGTCTTTTTCTCTTTCGCTTTACCTTTATAAAAAAAAAAAAAAAAAAAAGGACCTAGCCAGCATGAAAAATATAAGTAAATTAGCAAGAGATCAAAGAGCTAGAGTTAATATTTTTCACTTGGTAATCTTTAGCCAGGGAAATATTGCTGGCTTCTATGTAGCAAGTGCTCATAATAATTTTCCCCTTATCTCAGGGCTGCATGTCTGCATCCAGTGACTGAATTGGAGACTGATCCATTAGGATTATGTCCTGTTTTAGTGTAGCATGTGAGCTAAGAATGATTTTTAAACATGTTTAAAATTTAAAAAGAAGAAAAAGAAGAATATAATGCAACAGAAGTCATATATAACCCACAAAGCCTAAAATATTTACTATCTGTATCTTTACATAGAAAGTTTGCTGTTCCTGAATTAGAGATCAATCAGGGTGTGTAGGCTTGGAAAAGTTCCAAATAAACTAAGCAAAAAACAGGTACAAAATTAAGATATTACTTATCCACAGCTAGTGTAGTCTCTGACAGGCAATGGTGTTACCCATGGCAGGGCTATGGTTTTGTTAGAGACATTTTAGAAACCTTCAGAAACCATTTTAAAAAGCTTGCTTTCATAAATACATAATAAAGAATCAATTTTCCAAAAAAAGTTTACTAAATCCACAGCACATATGAATATTTGCTATATCTTGCCCTGAATTATTCAGGCAAATTTAGCAACTGAGTAACAGGAATCCTTTAAAAGACATTTTTTTTTTCTACAAAAAAAAAATTATAAAATATTCCTTAAATTAAAGCTCATTATTTCTTCAAAAATTTTAAAGTAACCTATGATGACAGAATAAACTAAAGGGGATTGTGTCTGATAGCCTTGTGCTTCTCTAGACAAGGCTGTGAAGCCACACTAGATTATCAGATATTAAACAAAGCTAATTATACTTAATCTATTTGTGATCTTTACAAAAAATCCCCTTGAACACAGTTTTGATAGGGTTTCATAAGTTGATATATATTCATTTTCACATTATAAGTGAACCTGCATATAATTGTTTCCTTTGGCTATACTTTTCCTTTTGACAGAAAATTAGAAAAATATTCTAGAAGAAAATGCATTGTCACGAGTCTTTCCTTGTGATGTGTATCTATTAGAGAAGTGAAGAAAGGTCATGTCACCAGCACCATTATATGTAAGAAACAAGGAAAGTGACTACCTAAAATTGTATTAAAAGCAAATTTTAATTTAAAATCACTTTCAGGGGTAGTTGTATAAAATTCCAGTGTATTTAGAAAAGTAGAATTAGATATATAAAAGTGACTTGAAAATAGGACATTTATTAACAAAGTTAATAATACACTGAAGGAAGAAATACA